CGTGAAAAGAACACGGAATGCACTTTTTTTTTTTTTGGAATGGATGAATAACTTTCGTTAGTGCGATAGTTACAAAACACTGAATGGAACAATCTCAAAGAACTAAAGTTGAGGCACTACTCAAAATTTAGCGAATGAATTTAACTGATTCTTTCAACAGTTTTGAATGGTATTCCTTATGGTATCGATTTAAAACTGATGGCTTTGTAAGTTAGCGGATTGAATGAATCTGATAAGATAAAGTGAAAAAAATAAATAGATAAACAAATTGCAGTTGCCTCTACGTCTATCTGTTTGTCTATACTGAACTGTATAAGTACTCGATGCTTACTTAGTGATAACTCGAAAGAATAAAGAGAAGAATTCTATTCATTTTACTGCATATCATTCAATGCTCAGTGACCCCGATGATAAAAGAAAAAGGGCAGTTAAAAGACGCGTCATTCTGCGATGTTGGCTGATGGAAATGACGAGGAAATGGGATGGAAGAAAGAATTTCTGGCCGGCTCAACCATCCAATAAACCAAAGATGATGGATTTGTTTTTTTTTTTCTTCCTCTTCTTCTGCTTTTTCATCGCCATCGTCATAGTACAAACTCTACTCGGTTCTATTGGTGATATGCATAATTCAATTGCACAGTTGTGCTTAACTTTCGTTTTTTTCTTTTTTTGTTTCTGTTTCTGAGTAGGATTCATAATTTTTTTTCGACCATATATTTAGTGTTGACCCTTTGTGCGCTTTTCATCCGCCATCATACAGTTTTTTATACGTAATAAGAAATGTGATTTGCACGTGTAAACGTTTTTGGGACAGGAAAATGAAAAAAACTACTGATTTATACACTCATTAATTTCTGATTATACTATTTGTTTTGGCTTTATATTTTAAAGTCGGTCGCCTTCAGAAAAATCATTAGAAAGGAAAGTAAAAAGACGTTTGGGCATTAAGATATCCTAAATACAGTTTGTATTGTTAGCGAGTTATTGAATGAAAGCAGTAGTAGTATGCAAACGGATACCACAATTCAACTGCATAAGTTGCTTTTTTTTTTTCAAGTATATTTAGTTTAAATACTTAAGTACACTCTATACAGGTCTTAGTCAAATGAGCATTTTTTACTTCTAATTGATGGTTAACTCTTCCTTTCTTGATTAATGTTTTCATGTAAAGTGGTGAGTCTGCCGTTCTGTCTTATATTGATTTCTAAATCCATGCATGCCCTAGAAAGATTTGATTGCAGCGTTTTTCAGATCCTACTTGATTTCTCCTTTCGTCCTTATTGGTTTCAGGAGAAGAATTGCTTTTACCTTTGCTGCTACTTATATTGCGGCACAGTGGTGCCGCTCTAATTATTCGGTAATCTGAGTTGTAACCTTCAATAAACCTTTCTAGCCAAAGTTCTTGATATGGACAACCCAAGTAATATAGGAGCTGTCAAAATACAGAATGAAATTAAGGTTTGTCTCTTTGTCTTTTCTTTCCCTGTTAGATTTACTCAGTAGTTTCAAGACTTAAGAAGGACTTCGTTTTGAAACTTGCTATTGAGTAAATAGGTATATTCACAATTAAATAATTATATATAATCTGAACTTTTTTTTTATTCTTTAAAATCCTTCGAAAACACAGTTTAAAACTGAAGCTTTCACAAAGGAAGTGATAAGTATTCAAATGTAATCTACTTAATTTAATACAATAATACTACACTGAAATTGCCAATTATTCCGGTACTCGTGGGGTAGTTGTAGTAGAAGTTGATAGCTTAACTCGAGTATTCTACAATTTTGGATTTTAGACTAAAAAACTTTATTTTTAAACAGAAAAATCATCTTTCAGCTAGATGAACTATCCGAAGAAGATAGGTGGCGTATCCAGCACGCAAAATTACATGAAAAACATCGTGGTCATGAGCAAATGCATTTAGAAATGTTTGTAATTCTTATTGTCACGTTGATATTTGCTCAGATTGCATTGGTCCAATGGAAAAGACGATACTTCAAATCTTATCAGGTTTTTAGTTTTTTTACTTTGCTGTATTTCTTTACTCCATTGTTAACTATTCTTTTTGTGGCTCTCCTGTGAGGAAGCATGCCAGGAACAGGCACTCCATTGGTAATGGTACGTACAGTGTAAAGTGACGGCTGAAAGGGATGATGTAGTTATTTTTGAGAGATTTGTGGCGTCATTTTTTCTTACCGTTGAGTACCGAATATTATCGGACTTTATAATGGAATTTGTCAGTTTTTACTTTATTGAAAGTACGGAGGAAAAATTTATACGCTCTGGAGTTTGAAATAGACGAGTGTGATAAAATTAACTTTAAAGTCGTTAAGTGCATAATATTCCCATTTTAAAAGTAGTTTTTGGAGTTATTTAATAACGAGCAGTTAATAACAAAGTAAAAAATTTATGATTGGAAAACACCTGAAATTCAGTCACGATTAAATTGCCCTTGTTCTTATGACATCTTTACAAGCATTCTGCTCATTAAAGGTTAAAGATGAAATCTTTGGGAATTACTCATTCAAAGCTTGTAAACCGCGCAGTAGCAGCAGGTCTTTCGTATTTAGACCCTGAAACCCATTTGGCAGAATTGAAGAACTGCTGAAGCAAGACTTGAAACATCTTTCACTGTGGTTCTAGGAGTGAAGCCTTTGCTCCGTGACGTGTCTTGCGGACTGGCACAGGAATTGCAGTTGCGCAGGAGCTATAGTAATCTTAGCTTATTGATCGGGAACTTGTATATGCATTTCTGACTTTTTACTGTGGGTAAGTGCAGGAAATAAAAGATATCCTCACTCGAATAATTATTTTTGGCTTGTCGAGGGTATTTTCGGGAGCCCGGAGTACACCGGTTATTTTTTATAGAGGTTATTCTCTGATTGAAAATAGATTATCCAAGGCATAATTTGGCATTTCTTGCAGTCGAGCAGAAGTTCATTACAGGCTTTTTTTGCATCTTCTGAACATCTTCAGCAGTTTTAATTCAGTTAGCCTCTGAAAGCCTCCAAAAAATTTTGTTTCCTTTCTTAATAGTCTGACATGTTGAAACTCCGAAAATTGGAAGAGATATTGTAGGGTAATTTATGACTTTTGTTTTACTAGCAGAACTATATGTCGTAGCTAAGAACCTAATTTTATAGATCAGGTACAAGCATTTTTGCGGAGGAGGAATATTTTTGACGTGGAGACTGCTAGAAAAATGAGTAGTCGAAAGATACAGGAAGAGTGGGTAGTTAAGAGAAACCACTATCACTGAACTTCTGCAACTTTTGTTTAATTTTTGTATTTTTTGTTTATCTTGTAATAACGAGGCTTAATGGCCTTCTCTCACTTTTAAGGCCATAAATCCCATTCTATCAGTATATTTTTCATCTTAATTTTCTAATGAAGCACCGCAAGGTTCTTTAGACTATTTTCGAGGGAAGTGGCACTAGTGGTCTTCTTTTATTTCAGTTTTGTACATTAGTTAGTATGTGGTTGATTCCTGTGTTTGTCTGCGTGCAACGTCAGTGGTGGCGATTTCTTGTTATCTGGATTGCTTATACAATTTTTTCGGCATTTGTGTGGTACAAAGCTTCACGACCTCAAATTGCCGGCAATACACCAAGGTATGCGAACTACCGATTTAGTCCAATTGGTTAATCTGTTCCTTCAGAGGTTGTCAGAAAGACTAAGTATTTCTTCCTCTTTTTTTCAGATTTGTTTACAAGTGGTTTTTATTTCTACACAAACTAAGTTATGTGCTTGGTATTGTTGGTTACGTTATCATTATGTTCACTTTGTTGGGTTTAAATGTCCTGTTTGGTTTAAAACCAAGCGTTTGTATGGATAGTGGGTTATTACTGCTTTTCTACGGATTGTATTATGGTGTTTTGGGACGTGACTTCGCACATATCTGTACAGATCGTATTGCATCTAAAATAGGGGTAATTTTGTTTATATTGATAAATAATTTTTAAATCTTGGTATTTGGATTAAAAAGTTGCAAACTTTCAAAGTTGCCTTTTTTTTCGTGAAGTAGTGGTACTGTTGTCAATCAGTGTTTGAACTTTCAACTATTTCACCGTTTATTTTTTAGTATTACACGCCAGAAGGGCTACCAAGGAAAACGCTGGAAGGTGACGTTTGTGCCGTTTGTGGTAATCATTTAGACGAGGACGAAACTGAGTCCGATGCTGAGGCGACTTATAGACTGAGTTGTAATCACGTGTTTCATGAATTTTGTATCAGAGGATGGTGTGTTGTTGGGAAACAGCAAACCTGTCCTTATTGTAAGGAGAAGGTTGACCTCAAGCGTATGTTCAAAAATCCGTGAGTTTTTCAAAGATTCTTGAAGTTTGAAGTTAAGCGACGGACAGTACCCTTCTTTTGCTTTCTTTTATTCGGAAAAAGTTTCTCCTGGTGTATAGTTAACTTTTTAATTACAGATTATTTAGGTAATTTTTCATCATGATATTTTTCGCCTTCTAATATGACTTTTAGGTGGGAGAAGCCACATCTTTTTTACGGTCAGTTGCTAGATTGGATTCGGTACCTTGTTGCCTGGCAACCGCTTATTATCACTTTTGTTCAAGGAGTAAATAGGTTTCTGGGATTAGAATGATTACAGTGACGCTTCAAATTTTATTTGTCATATCTTAAACTGTTTCATATACATTTTCTAAGCCGTAAAGAGCGGCTTTTTTAGGTTCTATGAAGGGTTTCAGCTATTTGTTAGTTGAAATTTAGTATTTTTTGTTGGGCATTTTTGGAATTCAGGTGGAGCTTAGCGTTTTTAAGTCCTTGAATTGATGAATATTGGGTAAAAGTTTTACTTGAAATCAGGGTTAGTTCTTGTTGTATTGTTAAGTTATTTAATGCTTGTTGTGCTCTTGCTTATCTTCTCGAGGAAGTATACCTTAATCTGCTATTTATTGCTCGTTTAAGGGCCTTATCTAATTACTGCTTTTTTCGTAGCATTCCGTTATCTGTATATGGAAAGGGAACTTCTTTGGTGGTTTCTGTTTGTTTTTATTGTGTATATCAATTGAGTTTTCATCCTCAAACCAGTTTTTGTTGAGTTGGATGCTGATTTTAATGCTTATAGAAAGTGTTTGCTGAGCTGGATTTACAAACTTTGCATTTTACGGGACTCTGATTTATAGTTCTAGACAGATAATTGTTAACGGCTATTGGTTACGGTAACGCCATTCTATCTAATGGCTGTAAAATTATTCTTTCTTCAACTTTGGATTTTTCCAAGTTTAAACAGCCATCGAGTGTTGATGTTTAAAGTCTCTATCCTTATGCTTAACCTTCAAGACTGTGATATATTGTGAGATAATGTCTACTTTTTTCATAAAGAGTTATTTACGTTATATGGTGAATTAATAAAAATGGTTGAATGAAGATTTGGCTTACTTACTGAAGTTTGCTTTGTCTTTTCTACTCTAGTGAGTTTTTTTGGTTTCTGAATTGTAGTGACGGCTGTTTTGTTTGATACTTTTGGTCAATTCTCGCTCTGCAGAGTAAATTGATTGGAATAAGATAATTGATTCTATCTTCCTGCGGTTATAGCAGTTAGGTGCTACTGGAAAGTGTCAAGCCATTCAATGCTTTTCCATTTAATTTTCTAAAGCGCTTTATTCGGTACAGAAGTGAATTTGATCTGAGTTGTTTCTTCACGTTTGGGAGCTCTTATATCTTGAAGTTGTGTTTGGAATTGTTTGGTATTCTTGATAAAATTTGTTTTGAACAGTTTTTAGAGTAATTGTTGATTGGGAGCGTTAGTTTCGAGTCAATTGGATTGGGTCTTAAAAGATTAAAAGAAGTACTGGAAACAACCGGATTGGGGAAGTCGAAAGATTCCAACTGTACCTTGAATTTCGTTTGTGGTCGTGTAGTGTAACACTTTTGTTAGCGGCGGGCTAGGATGACATCTGCTTCAAAAAAGTAAGTAGTTTTAATGAAGTTAAAGATACTGGTTCAGCTGCTTTATAGTTTTTTCCGAGAAATGACAATTTTGAAATTTAGACAGTACGGCCTTATACTGAAAAAGGAAAATGCTTCATTCAGTGCTTCTTCTAAGGTAGCTGCAGTATTTGGTGACGACGAAGAGGAGGCTGTTGATACTGAGGTAATGACAGGATTTTGTTGTGAGAAGTAATCTTTTAGTTCGTTTTTTCATGAGGGCTGCGAGTTTTTAAGATCATGTCTTCGAAGAATGCTAGTGTTTCGACAATGCGTATCAGGATGCAGGCAAAGCGGGAATACGAAAAAGCGTTGGCAGAGGACCCTTCTGTTTTTCAGTATGACGAAATTTATGAAGAGCTTCAGGCCGTTAGAGACGCCAAACAAGAGGAGAAGAAGAAGGCTGACAAAGAAAGAAATGTATGGAACTGTTCTCCTACGGCGCAGTATAGGCGTTGATATGACTTTTGGAATTGAAATTCCGTGTTTTTTTCTTTGGACCTTTTATTGTATTTTATTGCTTACAGCCCAAGTACATTGAAGAGCTGCTGAAAGCTCATAAACGGAGGAAGGTAGAACAACAATTGAGAGATGAGAGGAAGCAAGAAAAGGAGCGCAAAGCTGAAGGGGAAATGTATAAAGACAAAGAGGTAGTCTGTTACAGTTTTAAATGCAATGTTTTTGCTTCCCTATAATTTCATTATTCTCTGTTTTAGGTTTTCGTTACCGGTGCATATCGGAAGCAGATGGAAGAGGCGCAAGAATTGGGGAGGGAGTTAGCACTACAGGACAGGATTGACGGTACTTTTAGCAGCTGGCTTTTTTGTAGTTTAAAGAATAACGGGAGTATTAATGAGTTCTATGGAAGTTGACTTTACTTTATTTCCTCTATCAGGATTTTTGGTTTTGCTGTGACCGTTATTGCTGTCGACATGTCATAGTGGCAAGAAATTCTTTTTTAAATGAGGTTCTGTTGCATGCAGAGCCCGCTGTTGTTTGTTGATTATTTTTGAGGAAGTCCTAAATCTTTTACAACGGCATTTACTTGTCCTTTTTAGTCAATTATTTTCAATACTCCCGGTACACCACAGTGTAATTTTTTTAACAGAGATGACTGCTGTGGAGAAACAGAAAATGTGGCAGGCTGGCTTTCACCGTACTGTTTTGCATAATTTGTCAAGGGATGGAACTGCTATTCCTAGTACCAGCAAGGATGATAATGGAGTAGTAAGTTTTTGAAGGTTATTATGCAGTGGCAAATGAATTCATTCTACCCGCTAATTTTAATCTTTCAAATTGCTAGAAAAATTTTCCTTCGAGCAACTTAGTTTTTAAATTCTTGAAAAAGACGAAAAAGAAATGGGTCGTGAGATATTACTGGTACGTAACTAAATTAAGATTCTCAAGTGGTAATATTGCAGATGAAAGATGTAGAGGCTGAAACAAAAACAGGTGATCATGCTGAAATGTTGAAGTTGTTACGTCGAAAAGTTGTGGATTCGAAAGAAGATTTATTACCACCTCTGCAAGATACAAATAAGAAATCTGCACCAAGACCCACGAACTCGGAGACAAATAACGAAAAATCCATATACTCCGATAACTCCGAAGAAGAGCAGTCTTATGAAGAAGCTAAAATTGAACTCAAACCCGGGCTCAATATCTTGGTCTGTTGTTTTGAAATATTTGATTCCTTATTACTTATATAGGTTTCTCTCTTCTGATAAAAAACCAAAAGTTTAGTCACGACCGAAAAAGTTGACGAAAGCGGAACAGTTACGAAGCCGTTTCACGCCATCTGACAGTGGTAGTGACGATGAAGTGGAGAGAGCTCAGTGTAAACGTAGGAGAGCAGATGACTCATTAAAAGAAGAAAGGCGTCGTCGAAGAGACTCTGAAAAGAGCTCTCGTAGGTATTCAAACAAATCTCGTGAGGGGCGAAACAGAAGTAGAAGTAGTAGTTATGAGGAAGGAAAAAGGCATAGAAAAGGCAGATCAAGCAGAGATATGTCAAACGAAAGGAGAAAGGAGACTCAAAAGCGAGCAGGCAGCACGCACCATTACAGCCATTCTGATCGCAGAAGGACGGAAAAGAGAAGGTTGGTCTACTATTTATGAAGGTGACTGGATGAGTAGTCTGTCCGGTACACAGTGTTAAAAAAAAGCACAGACAACCTGTCCGATTGAGTTTTCAGAAGTCGGTCCAGGAGCAGAAGCGTGGAAAAGGAGCGGTTCAAAAAAGAAGAGATTGACCGGACACGAAAGGAAGAGAAGACGGATGAGCGGAAAGAAAAGAATTCCAACGAGGATAGGAAGCCGAAAACAAAAGAAGAAAGGTGGTTTTCACTTCCCTCTGTATCACTCAAGTTTTGCTTGTTCCTCAAACGACAATGTCTTTTTCTCACAGGCTCGCGAGGTTGAAGCAAATACTGAAGCAGAGGAATGGAGAGGACGAAATCGCAGAGTATCGCAAAAGATTCTTGGAAAGGAAGAAATCAGGATTTGTAACCCCACCTTTATAAGCCTGTCCCTGTGACCTGCTTCTCTTGCCCACCTCATTGTTTTGTGTATAAAGGATTATTTTGCTTCACTTTGACCGTCCTATGCAGTGGGAGAATGGCAATTCCTGCCCCTTCTTCCCCTATACCGGCTAATCAGAGCGACTCAGTGTTACTGTTAGGTGCAAACAGTACTCAAGGCCAAAGTGGTAGCGCTGGTGCTCAATCATTCCTTCTAAAAGTAAGTTCTTGACTGCTCTGCATCTGTTACGTACATTTCCTGAACTATAAATTAAGGAACCAGGAATCAAGCAGGAGCAGTTCCCTCCTGCAAACTTGAAACACAGTGAAATCTTTATTTGGCAGCAGTGAAACTATGGTTGCCTGTTCATTGATTTATTCGCCTGGAAACTTCAGTACACAAAGCATAGGCAAAAAGCAACAAAAATTGAGGCAGTATTAACAACTAGTCATTTCAATTTCGACACTACTAACACACTCAACCACCTAACGGCGCAGTTAGATTAATCTTCGAGAAAACAACCTAAAAAGTTACGCTTCAAACAACCATGAGCGAAGCTCACGTTTAGTATTGTAGGACCAGTCGTCCTTACAGTCTCAGTGGTAGTACATTAAGAAAGGATGAAATAAATAAAGTCATAATTAAGGCACAATGGGACCGATCACTTAGTCCATAAGAATGGTTTTCGTTAGCTTCCCAATCACCTGGTAGGGGTCACAGTTCGACGCGGGCCTACGATCCTCCAAGAACCCCTGCAAAGTTGAACAAGTTACATGCAAAGAGAGACGCATGTGTTTACTTCATCTTTTGACCAGAGAAAGCTTATAGGAAAAAACCAACTTTTTTAGCTTCCGCCACTTGACGAGAAATCCTCACAGAGCATCCCCTGTTTGCAATGCCCCATGAGAACTGATCGTGTCGTGAAGTCTCATGCCTGCCCGTCATACGACGCATGTTATCTTTGCCACCATGAGGGTCGTAGACTGCCATATGCTCCTAAAAACAACGAGATCCTTTTGGATACGAACATATAGACGACGAAGCTTACTGTTTTAATGGGGATTTACCAGTTGGTAAAGAATATATCATTAGTATCTCTCGCTTTACAGCCCTTACTTAACTAACAAGATGTCAAGCTAATAAGAGTCAAACAAATCCTAGTAGATTACAGCATGTTTCGCCTCCAGTTTTGGCATTGCTGCTTCAATAATTTTGAGACCTCCTTCAGACCTCATAGCTTCTGTTGAAAAATTGCAGTGGCATCCAGCTCCGTTCCAATCACCAGCTAAAAACAGTGTAATAACAAGTGTCTCCGACCTAACGTTAAAAGATACCAGCAATAACATTAAAACTCGAATTTTCTAAAGAGTTTTTTGTTAAATTCCTTCTAACTTTCCACCAAATACCTTACCAGTAACAGATGGTTTCGGATCTAGGTTCACGATGACACCATACATTTCCGCAACACGATGTAGCAAGTAACGAGCCATCCATAACTGATCTCCCATTGATATGCCTTCACAAGTACCAAGCTGAAACTCCCACTGAGCAGGAGTCACTTCTGTAATGAAAACTCCGTAAAGTGATGTTAGTTCCTCATCTACATTTCTTTTCAGCTACAGCTATATTTTCAAAGAATGAGCTGTTACAAAGTCGAAAAGATGTACCAGCATTAGTGCCGAAAATTTCCAGTCCAGCATGAAGACATGCTCTGTAATGGGTCTCACAGACTTCTCTCCCAGCAACTTTATCTGTACCTACGCCGCAATAATATTTGCCCTGCGGCTCAGGAAAGCCATTCTTAGGCCAGCCAAGAGGATATCCGTCTCTAAAATTAAATGAAAATTAAAGGTACAACTAAATTAATACACCAACAATTCCCTAACGTGTAACTACAAAGGAAGAAAAGATGCTTCATTTTTAAGTATTTTAATCTGGAACCTGTCAAGAAGGAGATACTCTTGTTCCATCCCGAGCCAAATTTTTTCATTGAGGAATTTTGACATTATGTTATTGCACTCGTA